AAAAAAAAAAAAAAAAAAAAGATCAGAGCAGAAATAAATGAAATAGAAACGAAGAAAACAACAGCAAAATGAATAAAACTAAAGGCTGGTTTGTTGAGAAGATAAACAAAATTGATAAACCTTTAGCCAGATTCATCAAGAAAACAGGGAGAGGACTCAAGTCAATAAAATTAGAAATGAAAAAGGAGAAGTTACAACAGACACCGCAGAAATACAAAGCATCCTAAGAGACTACTACAAGCAACTCTATGCCAATAGAATGGACAACCTGGAAGAAATGGACAAATTCTTAGAAAGGTATAACTTTCCAAGACTGAACCAGGAGGAAACAGAAAATATGAACAGACCAATCGCAAGTAATGAAATTGAAACTGTGACTAAAAATCTTCCAACAAACAAAAGTCCAGGACCAGATGGCTTCACAGCTGAATTCTATCAAACATTTAGAGAAGAGCTAACACCCATCCTTCTCAAACTCTTCCAAAAAATTGCAGAAGAAGGAACACTCCCAAACTCATTCTATGAGGCCACCATCAGCCTAATACCAAAACCAGACAAAGATACTACAAAAAAAGAAAATTACAGACCAATATCACTGATGAGTATAGATGCAAAAATCCTCAACAAAATACTAGCAAACAGAATCCAACAACACATTAAAAGGATCATACACCATGATCAAGTGGGATTTATCCCAGGGATGCAAGGATTCTTCAATATACGCAAATCAATCAATGTGATACACCATATTAACAAATTGAACAAGAAAAACCATATAATCATCTCAGTAGATGCAAAAAAACCGTCTGACAAAATTCAACTCCCATTTATGATAAAAACTCTCCAGAAAGTGGGCATAGGGGGAACCTACCTCAACATAATAAAGGACAAACCCACAGCAAACATCATTCTCAATGGTGAAAAACTGAAAGCATTTCCTCTAAGATCAGGAACAAGACAAGGATGTCCATTCTCACCACTATTATTCAGCATAGTTTTGGAAGTCCCAGCCACGGGAATCAGAGAAGAAAAAGAAATAAAAGGAATACAAATTGGAAAAGAAGAAGTCAAACTGTCACTGTTTGCAGATGACATGATACTATACATAGAGAATCCTAAAGATGCCACCAGAAAACTACTAATCAATGAATCTGTAAAGTTGCAGGATACAAAATTAATGCACAGAAATCTCTTGCATTCCTATATACTCACAACAAAAGATCAAAAAGAGAAATTAAGGAAACAATCCCATTCACCATTGCAACAAAAAGAATAAAATACCTAGGAATAAACCTACCTAAGGAGGTGAAAGACCTGTACTCAGAAAACTATAAGACACTGATGAAAGAAATCAAAGATGACACAAACAGATGGAAAGATATACCATGTTCTTGGATTGGAAGAATCAATATTGTGAAAATGACTATACTACCCAAAGCAATCTACAGATTCAATGCAATCCCTATCAAATTACCAGTGGCATTTTTTACAGAACTAGAACAAAAAATCTTAAAATTTGTATGGAGACACAAAAGACCCCAAATAGCCCAAGCAGTCTTAAGGGAAAAAAACAGAGCTGGAGGAATCAGACTCCCTGACTTCAGACTATACTACAAAGCTACAGTAATCAAGACAATATGGTACTGGCACAAAAAAAGAAATATAGATCAATGGAACAGGATAGAAAGCCCAGAGATTAACCCACACACCTATGATCAACTAATCTATGACAAAGGAGGCAAGGATATACAATGGAGAAAAGACAATCTCTTCAATAAGTGGTGCTGGGAAAACTGCACAGCTACATGTAAAAGAATGAAACTAGAACACTCCCTAACACCATACACAAAAATAAGCTCAAAATGGATTAGAGGGCTTCCCTGGTGGCTCAGTGGTTGAGAGTCCACCTGCCGAGGCAGGGGACACGGGTTCGTGCCCCGGTCCGGGAAGATCCCACATGCTGCGGAGCGGCTGCACTCGTGAGCCATGGCCGCTGAGCCTGCGTGTCCGGAGCCTGTGCTCCGCAACGGGAGAGGCCACAACAGTGAGAGGCCCACGTACCACAAAAAAAAAAAAAATGGATTAGAGACCCAAACATAAGACTGGACATTATAAAACTCTTAGAGGAAAACACAGGAAGAACACTCTTTGACATAAATCACAGCAAGATCTTTTTTGATCCACCTCCTAGAGTTATGGAAATAAAACCAAAAATAAACAAATGGGACCTAATGAAATTTAAAAGCTTTTGCAAAGCAAACTACAAACAAGACGAAAAGACAACCTTCAGAATGGGAGAAAATATTTGCAAACGAATCAACGGACAAAGGATTAATCTCCAAAATATATAAACAGCTCATGCAGCTCAATGTTAAAAAAACAAACATCCCAATCAGAAAATGGGCAGAGGACCTAAATAGACATTTCTCCAAAGAAGACATACAGATGGCCAAGAAGAACATGCAAAGCTGCTCAACATCACTAATTATTAGAGAAATGCAAATCAAAACTACAATGAGGTATCACCTCACACCAGTTAGAATGGGCATCATCAGAAAATCTACAAACAACAAATGCTGGAGAGAGTGTGGAGAAAAGGGAACCCTCTTGCACTGTTGGTGGGAATGTAAATTGATACCGCCACTATGGAGAACGGTATGGAGGTTTCTTAAAGAACTAAAAATAGAATTACCATATGACCCAGCAATCCCACTACTGGGCATATACCCTGAGAAAACCATAATTCAAAAAGATACATGCACCCCAATGTTCACTGCAGCACTATTTACAATAGCCAGGTCATGGAAGCAACCTAAATTCCCATCGACAGATGAATGGATAAAGATGTGGTACATATACGCTATGGAATATTACTCAGCCATAAAAAGGAAGGAAATTGGGTCATTTGCAGACACGTGGATGGATCTAGAGACTGTCATACAGAGTGAAGTAAGTCACAAAGAGAAAAACAAGTATCAGATATTAACGCATATATGTGGAACCTAGAAAAATGGTACAGATGAACCAGTTTGCAGGGCAGATATAGAGACACAGATGTAGAGAACAAACTATGGACACCAAGGGGGGAAAGTGGTGGGGGGAGTGGTGGTGGGGGGATGAATTGGGAGGTTGGGATTGACATGTATACACTAATATGTATAAAATACAGAATAAGACCCTGCTGTATAACAAAATAAAAAAAAAAATAGTCCCCAGGAGGGAAGGGAGGAGAGAGGCTCATCTGTCAACAAACATTTGCTGAGCTCCTGCCTCATGTCAGGCACAGAGCTGGTAGACTTCACCCAGGAACTCCTTACTGGAGAATCCCCCTTACATAGGGAGCTGAGCCTCGGCTTAAGTGCGTTCATTTTTCCCAGGGGAAAGGGGCCACATCTTCCACCAGATGTTACAACCACAGCTTTATGGAAATAATAGGGTATTAGTAATCCTCACCACAAGCCTCTTACCTTCACCTTACAGGTAAGGGAAACAAGGCCCATGGGGATTGGGCGGGTGGCCCAAGGGTACCCAACTAGGAAGTTGCCAAGCTGAACACTATTCCAGCTCTTGGGATGTTTTCGCCCACAGGCGCATGTAGAACTCCTAGTTCATCTTTCCAGACGCCATTCTGATGCCCTTCTTGGGTGAAACCATCGCTGCCTTCTCCACCCCACCCAGTGTTCCTTGGTCTTGCACTCCAGACCTTTTGAGACCCAGCCCCTGCAGGAATATCTTGCTCTTCCCCTCCTTGTACCCTGTGCTCCAATCAAACACCGTGGTACCCCTGATGATAACACTCAACTACACCTTCATGCTTTTGCATGTACTGTGTTCCCTGCCAGGATCACCCTAACCCCGCCCATCCTCAGTCTGCCTGGATAACTCCATTGTTCCTTCAAAACCCGGGCCAAGAGTAACCTCGGCTGGAAAGCCATACCTAACCCTCCTGCGCACGCTTGGGTGAACCTCCGAGTTCCCCTCCACACTCCGTACACTCAGCTTCTGCTGGGGCACCCGAGTCACACTTGGTTGGCGCACCTCTGTTAATATCCGCCAGCAGCGCCCCGGATCCACGGGCACACTTCAGGGATCGCCCTGGACCGTAAGTGTGGCCCCACATGGGCCTCCCCAGGGAGACCGCGAGCTCCGCCAAGGCCACACGGGGCCCTCTCACCATGTTCCCCAGCCCTGCACGCGCGGCACGGAGTGGACAGCCAGTAAATAATCTGTTGACAGATGAGTTGGTGCGGAGTTCCCGGCACACCTCTCCAACCGGTCAACAGTCGTCGTGACGGTGCCTGTTGACGCTGAGATTTCGCTCTCCGCGTAGACCCTCAGCAGCCTACCCTCCTGAAAGCAGACCCTCGCCGGGCTGGGTTCCACCCCACTCTGCAAACCGCATTCTCCAAACCAGTGCTGGACTTAATCACTTTCCCGCTCCGGAAACGCGGCCCCGCCGGAGCTGCCGCCCCGGCCCGGGAGGCGCGCTGGTCGGCGCACCGCTGGCGGCGAGGTCGCCGCGGCCGCGCGCAACCTCGCCGGCCGCGCTAGGGCCGTTTGAATCTCCCGCCCCCGCGGGCGGCGCGGGCCAGGCGTGCGAGGCGCGGCTGCAGAGGGGCCGCGCGGCCCTCGCTCGGGCGAGGCGGGGCCCGGCAGGCTCCGGGGGGCCCCTCGGGGCCGGAGACTCGCGCGCCCGCACCTCTCAGCCACTCGGCTTCACGTGGGGCCGGCGCCGCGCGACACGGGCGCGCGCAGGCAACGGCCCCGACCCGCCGCCGACCGCCGGTGCCCGCGCGCCGCCCTCCGCCCCGACGCTCCGCGCGTGACGGGCGCGACCTACCTCGCTGCAGGTCGGCCACAAGGAACTCCTCCGCTCCCCGGACCGGCCGCGAACTGCCCCAGAGCATGCGCTCTACAGGCCTCCGGCCCCGACCCCGGGCCAGAAAAGAAAACAAAGAGCCCGGCGGCCCCTGGCGGCCGCCCCGGGAAGTGCAAGTGGCGCGCTCTGACTAAGGCGCTCCTAACCAGGCTCTCTCCGCCCTGGCAAGGGTACAGTGGGTGTGTATTTTGAAGACCCCAAATTGGGACAAGAGGACTGACAACCAGAAAGACTACTTGAAATCAAGGTTTGTTTGGGAGAATCTAGTGTGGAAGGGACTGTACGGACAAAAGAGATTCGGATCCTCCCTGCTCTCAAGAGGCTCTCCATCAGAGAAAGATGAGAAATAGGACTATCAGCAGCTACTCAGGGCTGTGACAGCGGTGCGCACGAGGTTATCTGGCTCAGCCGGGACTTAACAAAGGCTTTCCAGGTTAAGCCTAAAACGGCAGGGCATCCTAGGAGAAGCATCCCGTGCACTGACAGGGAGCGATGGGAGCCTGTGGTGGTTGTGGGAAACTGCCAAGGTCTGACTGGGGCAGAGGGTGCCATGCGGAGGAACTGGAGAGGGAGAGACAGACCATGGATTCAGGGTATTGTCTAAGGAGGCAGCCTCTTCCCTGGGGAAATGGGGAACTATGGAACGGATTTAAGCACGTGAGTGACAGAAGCAGATTTTTGTTTTAGAACAAAATGGAGAATGCAGAGAATGGACTTGGGGGAAGGGGAAACCAAGAGTGGGGGAGGGAGGCCAGATAAAAAAGATGAGGGTGTGAACTGAGGTTGGGAGCTAGTGATGGAAAACAGGCGCCGACTACCCTGTCTTGTTAACACACTCCACTCCTTCTTCAGGACAGGATACAAACAGTTCTTCAGGATTTCAAGTTCCCTGTGGTGACCTTTCAGGGCTTTTGATTGTGTCTGGGGGTTTCCCAGGTCAAAGGCGTGGCCTCTGCAGAAGGATATTTTCTCCATTTCATGTTGATTCTGACTCTGAAGGTCATTCTATCATACCTGAACTCTAGATAGACACTTTTGATGAGTGTTTACCAACTGAGTTTCTTCTACACAGAGCCCACCCCAAAGCACTCCCCATCTTTAAGGTTTCTCACCTCCTCAAGTTTACTTCTGCCTCCATCAGGGACTCCTCTTTTGGATGTTACACTGTGAAATTCCTCCAAGTTTTAACCCTGGGATCTCTGATCTGTCTCTGCTGTCATATGGCTTGATGTAATTATAAAAATAACTATCATCACGTATTTTGTAAAGCCTCTTACTTCAACTACAGAAACACATCTGTCCATTACTTCATTGGTTCCTCACAAAACCCTCGACAGTTGGAAAATGAAAAAAATGAGGTTCAAAGAGGTTAAGCAAGTTTTCTCTGGGGTCATCATACAAGTGGTAGAAGGAGATCAGAAATCTTCTTTAGGGCCGAGCCATCGCCTTTTAACTGAGAGGGCAGCCCACCTGGTCTGGTTCTGACCTCTACCCTAAGTTTTAGTCCTATGGCTCTACCCAGAAGACTCAATATTCCAAATAAAACTCATTTTCCTTGGATCTAGACCCCCCACCCCCACCCCCCTTCATCCTTCAAGCCAAGGTTAAGGTTCTCTGAGAAGTACAGATTCAAACTTTCACATCTTTTCTGATTCTTCCCTCTCCTCTCCATCTTTTATTTCTGCCCCTCTGGTCTAAAGCACCACCCACCTGGCCTCTGCTCCCACCCCTCATCCTTTCCCCTTCATTTCAGTCCACCAAGATCCCAAGGTTAATCTCCCTAAATCATGGCTGTGAGACTTTGCCCTGCTTAAAAATCTTTAAAGACTCTTCTTCAGTGCTGTGCTAGGAGCACCAGGTGGCAAATGCCCCAAGCTGTTGGTTTCCTATTTCCCCCTTGGCGTCTGCACTGTACTCTGAGCATGCCCATGCTCATTCCTGCTTTCTTACCTTTCTCACCTCTCTTACCAGGTGCCTTTTATCCTGCCTAGCTGAATTCTTGATATGTATATTTTAAGGCTCAATTCAGTTGCCATCTCCATGAAGCCTTCCTTAGCCCTACTTATCTTTTCCTTCTTTGAATGCAAATATTCATTTTTTCACACTCTATTATTGTTGTATTTTATTTATTGAACACAAACCATAGTAAGAACAATCAATTGAATCCAACCCAGAAATGACACAGATGATAGAACTAGAAGTAAATGATATTAAAAGTTATTATTACTGTATGGCAGGGCTTCCCTGGTGGCGCAGTGGTTAAGAATCCGCCTGCCAATGCAGGGAACGTGGGTTTGATCCCTGGTCCAGGAAGATCCCACATGCTGCAGAGCAACTAAGCCCATGCGCCACAACTACTGAGCCTACATGCCACAACTACTGAGCCTACATGCCACAACTACTGAAGCCCGGGAGCCTAGAGCCCGTGCTCCACAACAAGAGAAGCCACTGCAATGAGAATCCCACGCACTGCAATGAAGAGTAGCCCCCACTCGCCACAACTAGAGAAAGCCTGTGCACAGCAACGAAGACCCAACGCAGCCAAAAATAAATAAATAAAAGAACTAAAAGCATTAAAAAAAAAAAACTTACATTAAAAAAATAAATAAATAACTGTATGGCATATGTCCAAAAGTTAAGTGGAGACATGGAAGATATAAAAAGACCCAAAGTGAGTTTCTCTCTCGACAATATCTAAGATTATAAATACACTGGATAGCATTAACAATAGATTAGATACTGGAAAAGCAACGATTAGTGAACTTGATGCACAGCAAAAGAAACTATCCAAAATGAAACATAGAAAAAAAATTTTTAAGTGAAAATAGTATTAGTGAACTATGTAATAACTTTAATAAGTAGCCTAACTCTACAGGTAATTGGAGACCCTGAAAATAAGGAGGAACTGGGGACATAAAATACATGAAGAAATAATGGCTAAAAAATGTTCAACCTATAAACCTATAAACTATAAACCTACAGATCTGTGATTAAAATAAATGTGGTCTTGGGACTTCCCTGGTGGTCCAGTGGCTAAGACTCCACACTTCCAATGTAAGGGGCCCGGGTTCGATCCCCGGATAAGGAAATAGACCCACATGCGTGCCGCAACTAAGACTTTGCACGCTGCAGCTAAAGATCCCGCATGCCACAGCTAAGACCCGATGTAGCCAAATAAATAAATACAAAAAAAAAAGCTTTAAAAAAAGTAAAATAAATGTGGTCTGAACGCTCCAAATGAAAGGCAGAGATTGTCATAATAGAAAAAGCAAGACCCAACCACACACTGCCTACAAGATATACACGTTAAACATAAATACAGTTGACCCTTGAACAACTCAGGTTTGAACTATGCAGGTCCACTTATACTCAGGTTTTTTTCAATAAATACATACTGTAGTCCTACACGATCTAAGGTTGGTTAAATCCGTGGTTGCAGAATCACAGATACGGAGGGCCAACTGTGAAGTTATATGGGGATTTTCAGTAGCACTCCCGTGTTGTTCAAGATTAAAAGTAAAAAGATAGAAAAAATAGATTAAAAGTAAAAAGACAGAAAAAGACATACTCTGGTAACACTAGTCAAAAGAAAGCTGGAGCAGCTATATTAATAGCAAAGTAGATTTCAGAGCAAAGAGTATTATTGAAATAAAGAAGGTAATTTCACAATGGTAAAGGAGTCAATCAAAATGCACAATCCTCAGTATATGCAACGAATAACAGAGCTTCAAAATACGTGAAGTAGGCCTTCCCTGGTGGCGCAGCGGTTGAGAGTCCGCCTGCCGATGCAGGGGACACGGGTTCGTGCCCTGGTCCGGGAAAATCCCACATGCCGCGGAGCGGCTGGGCCCGTGAGCCATGGCCGCTGAGCCTGTGCTCCGCAACGTGAGAAGCCACAACAGTGAGAGGCCCGCGTACCGCAAAAAAAAAAAAAAAAAATACGTGAAGTAAAAACTGATAGAACTTCTAGAAGAAATAGACAAATCGACAACTATAGCTGGAGATTTCAATAACCCACTCTCAATATTACTGATAGGACAGGTAGGAAGAAAACCAGCAAGGATAGAATAGACTTGAACAACACTTTCAATCAATTTGAACTGATTGACATTTATGGAACACTTAACCTTTCTTCACACTCCACCTTGATTTTTTCGGACAACAGTAACATACTCATGCCTTTTTTTTTTTTTTGCGGTACGCGGGCCTCTCACTGCCGTGGCCTCTCCCGTTGCGGAGCATAGGCTCCGGACGCGCAGGCCCAGCAGCCATGGCTCACGGGCCCAGCCGCTCCATGGCATGTGGGATTCTCCCAGACCGGGGCACGAACCCGTGTCCCCTGCATCGGCAGGCGGACTCTCAACCGCTGCGCCACCAGGGAAGCCCCATACTCATGCCTTTTAAGTGCACATGAAACATTTCCCAAGATAGGCTATACTAGGTTATAGAAAAAGTCTTGTTAAATTTAAGATGATTCAATCATACGAAGTAAACATATACTTAGGCCACAATGGAATGAAAGTAGAAACAAATAACAGAAAGATCTTTGGAAAACTCCCAAATATTTAAAAACACACTTTTGGGAATTCCCTGGCAGTCCACTGGTTAGGACTCAGCACTTTCACTGCTGTGGCCTGGGTTCAATACCTGGTCGGGGAACTAAGATCCTGCAAGCCGCCTGGCATGGCCTAAATAAATAAATAAATAAAAATAAAAACAATAAAAACACACTTTTACATAGTCCACAGGTCAAAGAAGAAATCAAAAGGTAATTTCAAAGTATTTTGAACTGAATTAAAATGCAAACATAACATAGCAGAACTTCTGGAATATTTTTGTTTGTTTTTTTACTTGTGGAATATTGTTAGAGGAGTATTTGGGAGAAACTAATAGCACTAAATGCCTAAACTAGAAATGAAGAAAATGTCTCAAATTAATCAGCTTCTGCCTTAGGGAACTAGGAAAAGAAGAGCAAACTAAACCCAAAATAAACAAAAGATCATAATAAAGATCAAAACAGAAATCAATGAAATAGAACACAGAAGAACAATAAAGTCATCAACCAGCGTTTGCTATGTGCCAGGCCCAGTACTAGGTCCTGAGCATACATATATGGTCCCATTCTTTAAGGATAACTCAACTAGTAGGTTAGATAGACATTAACTAAAAAATAAACACATCAGAATGCTAATAACGTTACCATGATGGAATGCTCAAGGTGCCCACCCTACCTCTGAGAGAAGCCATTATGGGTGCTTAGGGAAGGGGAGGTGAGAATGGTGGCTGAGTTCAGGCTCTAAAGATGCAGACCTTCATCTAAAGATGTGTGACCTTGGGCAAATAATCTAACCTTGATTGTCTTCCTTTTCTATAACATGGATATAAAAAATGTCCCTGCCCTGCATAGGGCTGTTGTAAGGATTAAAGAATGCCTAGCACATAGTAAATCCTCATCAAATGTCAGATACCATCATAAAGACAGGTTCTGGGACTTCCCTGGCTGTCTAGTGGTTAAGACTCCACTGCAGGGGCCCAGATTTGATTCCTGGTTGGTTGGGGAACTAAGATCCCATCCATCAGAGGGAAAGACATGCATAAAGACAGAAAGTGGTTAAAGACAGAAGTAACAGCCAGGAAGGGCTCCCGCTCCCCAAGATACTGCACTCATGTCTTAGTATTATCCAGAGCCAAGCAGACATAGGCACATAGTAGGTTTATAATTTGTTACAACTGAAACCGAGTTTTTATGGTGTAGTGGGTACTAATTAGCTGAATACAAAGTGTAAATAGCTAATTTTCTCAAGGCATGGTATGATGTGGGTTGAGCACAGGCTCTGCAGTCTATTGCCTTGCTCAGATGCATGTTCTGCCACTTACTGGCTATATAACTCGTGCAAGTTCCTCAACTCCAACTTCAGTCTCCTCTGCAAAATGGGCACGAAGGGTACCTACTTTACAGGGGTACACAGAATATTAGATGAAATAATGTACGTATCTTACCACACTGCCTTGTTCAAAGGTAACAGTATATCATGATACGGTTTTGGGGTTCAAATCCTGGTTCTATTACTAGTTCGGTGATCTTGGGCAATACTAATCCCTCCATCTTCTCCCCTTTTCTCTCCTGAATATGTAGGGTTCTGAGTGAGATAAGCCTGGTTTAGTAGATCATTTATCTGTGGTGGCAAACTTTATTAAAACTTTAATGGATACTATATCCCTAGTTGTTTGCTTTTAAGTCAGAGAATTTTCTCACAAGCTCACTGTACTTATGAGACTGTAAGCTTTTTTTTTTTTTTTTTGCGGTATGTGGGCCTCTCACTGTTGTGGCCTCTCCCACTGCGGAGCACAGGCTCCGGACGCGCAGGCTCAGCGGCCATGGCTCACGGGTGGAGCCGCTCCGTGGCATGTGGGATCTTCCCGGACCGGGGCACGAACCCGTGTCCCCTGCATCGGCAGGCGGACTCTCAACCACTGCGCCACCAGGGAAGCTCGAGACTGTAAGCTTTTTTACAAATATTAACTCTAAATTCTCACTACAACTCCAAGAGGTACTTTTATTGTCCCCATTCTATGCATAAGGAAACTGAGGCAGAGAGGTTAAGTAGCTTGCCCAAGGTCACAGGGACTACAATAAGCGGTATCAGGATTCAAACCCAGGCAGTCTCACTTAAGCAACTACTGCTATGACTATTAAGGCCTACTTGGAGAAAAAAGCCAGAATAACCTGTTTGTCTACAGGTAGGTATGTTGCAACCTGAAGTTCAGCAAAGCGTGTGACCTAGAATACTTGCTGACAGCTTTGCTTCAGCTACACCTGGACACCAGGAGAAATGGATGTATTCCCCACCGAGCACCCAGCCCTACCCTGAGAATTTACACTAAAAACATTGTTCAGACTTTACTGTGCACCTACCATCCAAAGACTATTTATGTGGGAATGCCAAGATGTGCGCTGGACACAGGGCTAACCCTGGGGATACAGGACCAGTCCACTTCCTAGTTGTAGATTTGGGCAATTATTTAGCCTTTCTCCTCCTGGGTTTTCCTATCAAAGCAGACAGATTAATACCCACTTCAGGGCTGTGATTAACACATGCCAAGTGCTTAGAAGAGCCTGGCACAGGTAAGCACTAAGTGTTGCTACTTGCTTAGGTAAAGCAACCGAGGTTCTCCAATAATCATAGCCACAAACTAGCTATTCTGTACCCTCTCGTCCCTGAACGCTGTAAAACTGTACATCTGGACATTCCATGTGTTTGGGCCACAACCCACCAAACCCCCAAATCCCCCCCTTAAACCTGACCCCCATGGATTCTAAATGGGTTATTCTACCTCCCCATCTTGTAAAATTCACTTAATAGCCCCACCCAAGATCTACACTCTACCTTCTAGATGGTTCCCCGCTAGTCCCCATCCTTCAGTCTTATGGCTTGACAAAGTCCTACTGTGACTCAAGCATAGCTCTTTGACACAGGAGAGGATTAACTACCCCAACAGCTGCTTTTAATTTTTTAACATCTGCACCACATCTTGTATGATGGTTAGGTCTCATCAGCATGAAGACCTCTCATTCAGCACCCATGTCCAGTGGCCTAATGTGAAGTCTCTAAGGCCATACCTTGTTACCTATTTACAACGGGTTAGGATACATGCATTTTCCCAAGTAGTAGTACACGCCACTATTAAACGCAAGAGCTCAGGGCCTTTAATTAGTGCAGAATCAATCAGGTATTAACTGCTTGAACAAGCAGCTTCATTTATAGAATACTCATTTAGCAGTCATATTTGCATAGAAAGAACCGCATAGGGAATTCCCTGGTGTTTTCACTGAAGGGGGACCAGGTCTGACCCCTGGCTGGGGGACTTAAGATCCTGCAAGCCACATGGTGCGGCCAAAAAAAAGAACCACACAATTATGTATATAGTCACCTTTATTGTAATTCACCCGAGTACATCAGAAACTGACATGGATCTCTTTATTAAGACATGTAGATTCTCATGGGCACCTGCTTTCCACTTTTAAGAAAATCCAGTTTACTTGAGAATGGCCAAGATCTTAGTATCAGTACATCAAGTTTCCACCTCATAGGAAACCTGAAAGGGTCTCTTGGGACTCCCAGGTCACTATACTGTCCACAGACCTGCCCACACAAGTGTCTTCTGGAATTCCTTCTAAATTTCAAAAGGCACCTGGTTAACAGAACACTATTACTCTAATGGTTTTTAAGGTGCAATTCCAGGGTTAAACATTGTGCGAAACTTAACATTTTCAAATTGCCCAGGCTCATCTTCCAAAAATAGTGTGTTACTCACTTTACTAATCTCCCTGCCAAATAAGGGCCCCCAAAGCATTGTTAACTGCACAAGTCAGGCAAGGCTCCTCTTCTCTCCTGAATGAAAAGGACAAAAAAAGAATGAGATTCATACATAACAATCTTATTTCACTTTTAAATTTTGGTATACTAGATGTCTCTCTGCATGGTTTGTCTCCTCAGTCATCGTCCACAGGACTCTGAGAAGCTGTAGGAATATGCAGGCGCAGACTCAAGGCCCAGCTTCATCTCCAACGTTGTGGAAAGGGACTGTACATCATGGGGCAGAGCCCTATGCTCCCCTACGCCACCAGGACAGAGCCCGGGGAGTGACCTCCCGGGGTATCCACGTTGGAATGTCTGAACAGAGTTACTGTAAGTTCCCACACAGACAAGTTTCGTTCTGAGAGCGGACAAAGTACAACAAAGTTAGCCTAGGTACCCAATTAACACGATTGACTATATAGTACTGTACTGTAATAGGTTTATAATACTTTTCACACAAATACATAAAAAACAAACACAAAGAAATAAAGTAAACATTTTAAATCTTACAGTAACTTGAAAAGTACAACAGCTAGCATACAGGGGCTGGCCTCGAGTGAACAGGCCATGAGTTACTGACTGGAGGGAGATGGCAGAGCTGAAGGATCATTAGCAACAGGAGATGGAGGGCAAGCTGCAATTTCACTCATGCCTCACACCGATGGCACAGGTTCTGGTCCCTTTCCCTTGCTGGATTCAACTCTTATCTACCCTCCTGAAAAAACGATCCAGTGATATCTGGGTACTAGCTCTTCTTCTCATCAGATGACACAGTAGCACTGCATTGCATTCTGAATGGTTGCTGCAACTTTCGTGTACCATTCTACGTCCGGGTCCTCTGCCTCAAAAACTAACAGTGCCTCCTCAAATAAAGAAAACCCCCTTACCACTTCCTGCATCATGAATCTCTTTCATTCTTCAGCAGTACCACCTATGTCACTGCTGCTTTTATGCTTGTTTCCAGACATCCTGGGCTTAAAATACAGATACTGTCCTACTGTACTCCATACAGTACTGTAAAGTATACTAAAACAAAACCACTTGTAGAGGATGCAAGCATGTGACAATGTACACCAGACACCTGAATTAACTTACGTGACTGGACATGTGCACACATGTTCGCATCTTAAGGTCTGTATGTAAAGGACTCACTGTACCCCTGTTTTCAAGACATTTTATTTCTCCTCATCCCATACTACATGTAGACTTGAGGGAAGTTCAAGTCCACCAGGGTTAGCAACTGTTTCTACTAACTTCCAAAAGTTATGCTTTATCTATCATAGTTACCATCATTGTAGACATACGCTCTGCATATGCTGGCGCAACTTAACCCCCCACATCACAGAAGGGAACTGTACAAGAAACCAAACCCTTAGTTGCCCTGGAAAGATCGAGAGGGTACACACATTACATGGCTCATGTGACAGCTTTGCTGTCTTTGGTTAAGTCATTCAAAATTGTTCCATTTGCAAAACAGAAATCTCTCCTCTATCGTGAGTATTAAAGATGTGAAGATAAACTTTAAAAAGCCATCTTCCTGGAATATGAGCATACATCTAAGAAACTGTCAACATGCCTACAAAAAAAAGTAGCAAAATATCTAGATGCATTGAACGGCAGCATCTTCATGAAATGGAAGTGAGCTCAAAATGATCAAATGTCTTATGCAAAATGTTGGCAGGCAAACACTGATAGGTCAAAAGGAATTCGTAGATTTACTTACCCTGAATCAAATTATTTGGAATCCCAAACAAATGCTGCAAAACAAAGCAGGTAAAAGCTTTAATCCAGCAGTACACCCAAACTGATTAAAACAAATTTTTCATTCACTTCGGATCAACCTAGATTCAGATATGCTGCTCTAGAGAGCTGTTTCCTGCATGGTTTGTCTCCTCAGTCATTGTCCACAGGACTCTGAGAAGCTGTAGGAATATGCAGGCGCAGACTCAAGGCCCGGCTTCATCTCCAACGTTGTGGAAAGGGACTGTACATCATGGGGCAGAGCCCTATGCTCCCCTACGCCACCAGGACAGAGCCCGGGCAGAGTGACCTCCCGGGGTATCCACGTTGGTCACTATACTTTAAAAATTAACTTCACCAAGTTGATAGCTACTTCGCAGGAATACTATAAGGGACTAGATCCCAATCACCCCAGTGTCAACAAGAGTTGAGCGCAAGACTAACAAGCAGACACATCAGAACAGCAAATAACAGCCGTTATGACGCCAGTAAAGGCTCCTACCTTTAACCCGATCGCCTGAAATAAAAAAATTGCCCCCCCCCCCCAAAAAATAAACGGCACCAGAATTAAGAATAACCCGAATCGGGAACAAAATGGCCTGCATTCAACTCCACTGAAGACGCTAACCCGCCTCCTAGGAAGCAACATAATGGCGCAACAGGAAATGAGGGCGGGCGCCGCGCACTTAGCTTGTGGAGACGGAGGGTCGCGCCCTGCACGCCAGGGAATTCCCGCGCTAGCGACCCTTGGTTACGGCCAAGACCCGCGGCCGGCGAGGCCTCCCCCGCCCACACCCGACCCGGCCCTATTTTTGCGAGAAAGGGTAGTCACCATGGACGCCGAAGATTCGGAATCATTCTAAATAGTGTGATCCCCAAAGAAAAGGCTGAGTTGCGGACCCAGTACCAGACAAAACGCTGAAGAAGCAGGCATCTAATCACACTCACCTAGCACCCGACGAGGATGACAATAGCCTTCCCCGAAAAGACCAAACGGTCTCAAGGCATCGGTATTTATACCTTCTGAAGCCCTCGAAGTCAAGAAATCTCTACTGCGCCTGCGCCGCGTCATGCGCAGTTAGGGAGTTAGAAATTCGCTAAGGGTGCTGGGACTCCACCGCAGGTTAAGCCCCACCCCTACCTGGCGTAGAGGCATCTCGCGATACTAGAGACTTCGCGCGGGACCTTGAAAGTGCAAGTTACAGAGAGGTTTTGAAGTATTTAGGTTGATGGGTAAGTGCTGGATCGGGTATTTACGGCTCTACGATCAGTTCACCAATCTGGAGGATAAGCCGTTAAATAAAGTCAAAAAACCTTTGGATTAATAAGTGTTCTGAATAGAAAAGGCATTTAAGCCTTGTCTGAAAAAAAAAAACAAAAAGAAAAAGGCATCTAGAGAAATGCAGTCTCAAAAGGGAGTGAATCTACCCTGTTACGTGTGAAATAAACATTTGATAAATGGCGTTGGCAAATAAGTCGGAAGTACTAAACTGTACACTTAAAAATGGTTAAACTGGTAGATTTTATGTTACGTGTATTTTAACACATATAGACACCTAATATAAAGAAGGCAAGCAAAGAATCCTGAAGATAAATGTTACATGTGAAATATTGCAAATGCGATAGAATTCCGAATAAATGTTAGATAAATTGACGTAGAGCCATCACAGCTCTGCTATAACGAGTAGAAACATTTATGGTGTTCTTCCTATAAGATTTTATGCTGGGTGCTTTAAATACATTATTTACCATCACAGCAATTCTAAGACATTGGTATTATTACCCAGCTAAAAAAATTTTTTTTTAATAGCATGCATTTTCTTTCTTTCTTGCACTTATTTTTGGCTGTGTTGGGTATTCCTTGCTGCGCGCAGGCTTTCTCTAGTTGTGGCGAGTGGGGGCTACTCTTCATTGTGGTGCACGGGGTTCTCACTGCGGTGGCTTCTCTTGTTGTGGAGCACGGGCTCTAGGTTCACGGGCTTCAGTAGTTGTGGCTCGTGGGCTCTAGAGCGCAGGCTTAGTAGTTGCGGTGCACAGGCTTAGTTGCTCTGCGGCATGTGGGATCTTCCCGGACCAGGACTCGAACCTGTATCCCCTGAATTGGCAGGCAGATTCTTAACCACTGCGCAACCAGGGAAGCCCTATTACCCAGGTTTTAAGATGCGAAACAGGCCCAGAGCAGTGGTTCTCTAAGTGTAGTTGACCAACTGTGGGGTCCCTGAAACTCTTTTGGGGGTTCATGAGGTCAAAACTATTTCATAATAATACTTAGACTTTTTCTGCCTCCTTCACTATGTTGAGTCTACACTGATGTAAAATGAAATTGTGGGTTAAACTGCTGGTGTCTTAGTTTGCTTCAAAGCCCTGTCACCAAACTGTACTGGTGGTCATTGTATTCTTCATCAACACAAATTTAAAATTAAAAAAAAAGTCAGTTTCACCGAAGGACGTCCTTGATGAAGAAGTAAAAATCATTAATTTTACTAATTCTTGCCTTTTAAGTATCTGTCTTTTATTATTTAGTTATTTGGCTGTGTTGGGTCTTCGTTGCTATGCACGGGCTTTCTCTAGTTGTGGTGAGCAGGGGCTACTCTTCGTTGTGGTGTGCGGGCTTCTCATTGCGGTGGCTTCTCTTGTTGTGGAGCACAGGCTCTAGGTGTGTGGGCTCAGTAGCTGTGGCTCACGGGCTCTAGAGCGCAGGCTCAGTAGTTGTGGCACACGGGCTTAATTGCTCCGCGGCATGTGGGATCTTCCCAGACCAGGGCTCGAACCCGTGTCCCCTGCATTGGTAGGCGGATTCTTAACCACTGCGCCACCAGGGAAGTCCTGAGTATCTGTCTTTTTAATATTCTATGTGACAAAGTGAGAAGTACACATAGAGCATTTATGCTGCGTGTGAAAAGCTGATCTGCAGGAAAAGCACTTATGACATTGTTTGAGTTGTGAGCTGAAAAAGCCACGTTTTTCATGGAATACTGTTTTATTTGAAAGAATGGCTGACATCTTTACCAACTATATATCTTGTGTGGGACTGGATTTTCTTCATTTACTTAAACCAAAACACCGTATAGTTACAGGTTGAATGCAAGAGCAGATATGAGAACTGAGTTGCCTTCAATTAAACCAGACAGTAAAGAGATTTGCAAAAAATGTAAAACAATGCCACTCTTCTCTATTTTTGGAAAATAGTTATTTTTCATACAAATATATTGTTAATTAACCTGTAATGGATTATTATTTTGAAATGTATCATAAATATTTAAAATTTTTTCTCAGTTTTAATCTTAGTACAGTAAGTATCAATAGATATCACCAACAGATAGAAAGTTTTTTGGGGTTCTGAGTAATTTTTTAAATTATGAAGGGGTCACGAAACAAAAATGTTTGAGAACCAGTAGTTTAGAGGAAGAGAGACAAATAATTCTGCTACTTTTCTGGTGATATTACGAGTATTCAGTTGCCTTTCAATCACTCATTCAACATTTACTTAGTGAATATGACTTAATTTTCTAGGCATTGTGCTAGACACTGGGGATTGAGATGAACCACTTTTTCTGTCCTTGAGCACTCACAGTGGGGGAAATAGACATGACAGCAAATTATACTACTACTTGATAAGCTCTGTGTGGCATGAATACTGTATTCTGAGGACAGAGCAACTGAACAATTGGCTAAAGGCTGAGAGGGTTTTCCTGGGGAGTTAAAATCTGAGCTAAAACTTGAAGGAATAGTAAAAGGGTGGAGTGTGGACGATGACAGCGTTCCAAGTGAGGAAACTAGCAGGCCTGTGGTCTCCCGGGAAGGGTGGGAGGTCAGCTTGATTAGGAACATCAAAGGGAGAACTGCCTGGGCTTTTCATGAGCCTGAGAAATAGGCAAGAGCTGAATACAAAGTATCTTGTGGTCCAGACAAAGTTTAAATTTTATCCTGCTGGTAACTAGGGGTCAATAGTTTTGAAGTAAAGGATTGCTCTATCTTTGCATTTTATCTTTTTTTGGCTGTGCCACAGGGCATGTGGGATCTTAGTTCCCAGACCAGGGATTGAACCTGTGCCCCTGCAGTGGAAGTGCGGAGTCTTAACTACTGGACCGCCAGGGAAGTCCCTATCTCTGCATTTTAGAAAGGTTACTCTAGTGGCAAAGTCGGAGGATAGATTGGAGAGACTGGAGGTTATAAAGTCCCATTAAATTATGTTGGCTTTTTTTTTTTTTTTTTTCGGTACGCGGGTCTCTCACTGTTGTGGCCTGTCCCGTTGCGGAGCACAGGCTCCGGACGCGCAGGCTCAGCGGCCACGGCTCACGGGCCCAGCCCCTCCGTGTCATGTGGGATCTTCCCGGACCGGGGCACGAACCCGTGTCCCCTGCATCGGCAGGCGGACTCTCAACCACTGCCCACTGCCAGGGAAGCCCAAATTATGTTGGCTTTGAACTTGAATGGTAAACAAGGCAAGAGGAGATAAAGGAATTGAGAGACATTTCTGAGGTAGAGAATGTACAGACTTTATTGTCCTACTGGACCTGCGAGGTAAGAGAGAAACTTGCAGATAATATCAAAGTTTCAGATTTGGGATGCTGAACATATTGTGGTCTCTAACTCTGATAACTGAGAAAGTAGGTGGTAGGGGTAGTGAGTAATGTCTGCATAGGAGGTGAATATAAGTTTTTTGTTGTTGTTAACCTCACTGTTTATTGAATTGTGAACTGGTGCAAACGCTGCTGAAGTCTCACTCATTGCGACCCCTCTCTCAGCACTCCCTTGAAAAGGAAGCCTGGAGGTGCGTACCTTGGGAACATGTGGGTGTATATATGTCTACAGGGTAATTGGATATAGGGTTGGACTCCAAGCAAGAAATCCGAGTTGTAAATAAAGATGTAGAAGTTGTCAGAATAAGAGTGGTGACTGAAGTCATGTTGGAAGAGCAGGGAAAGTGATGAGAGGACATGAAAACCCAACATTTAAATGGTGGTCAGGGAAGAAGCCGGGGGACAGAGGAAGCATGATCAGAGGAGAACCAGGAGAGTGAGTGGTGTCTGAGAAGCCAAAGAAGTTTTGAGGATTAGAACGTGGCCCAGAGCATCACATGCTGCAGAGTAGTCGGATACGTTTCGAGCTGAAAACAGGCCTTGGATGTGGCAGTTAACCAAGAAGACACTGGTAACCTCAGGGAAAGCCATTTTATTTTGGTTTTAGTTTATATTTTAATGAGTTTAGTGAACATGGCTTTAGAAATGGAAAACAGCATGTATGGACCAGAGGTCCTACACGAATGTCAATGTCAATGCAATGTTTACATCTGCACTGGTTCTTTTTCCTCTGTCACTCATTTAGTTCAACTGATTGGACTGTACAGGAATTTAAGTTAATGTTAGAATAGATTATGTGAAGGGAGTATGGGAAAAGTAGGTGACAGAGCAACAGGGGAAGGTTGTTTTTCTTGGTGGGGCAGGAAGGAGATACACGCTGATCAAATAAATGAATTAATGGTGTGTGTGTGTCTCCTCAGTACCAGATGCAGAGAAGTTGAGGGTGTTTGTTCCTGTCATATGACCTCTATGCTTTATGAAGGAGGCAAAAATTCTTGGGGGAAGAAATTAATGGTACCCACAGAGGAGAAACGTGGAGCAAGCGGTCCAGGCTGCTGGTGTTTCCTTCTCTTCCCTTCACGCCTCTTACAGATGGAATTGAAACAGTGGTTTAGGCTGTGTTTTGGTTTCAGCACCTGGCTTTTGTTGTACATTCTCAACTTTTATAAGTAGACTTCCTATCCCACCCCCTCCCATTCAATATCCACTGGACTTGCCCTTTCTGATGGTGGTTTTCCAAACCCCTTCTCTGCAATTGTAGTCCTCTCTCTCCTGGGGTACAGTAACCAAAATCCTTATGGACGCTAAATTCATTGTTTCAGCAAACACTGGGCAACGTGTACCTTCAAAATACTCTTCTAGAAACAATGCGTGACCTCAAAAGGGTAATGGCAGTTTGAGGCCTCTTTGGAGGGCTAGTAGAAGGAAAATATGGGAGCAGGTGGAGGCCAATGGCATGAGCAGTTCTGACTCATGGTT